CCATCTTAAAATTGTAAAAGATTTTTGAGGATAAATGCTCTAGTTTCAAGCTACAAGCTCTTCTGGATGCTACATTGTTTAAACGATAAAGAACGATCTTGCCCTTGGTTTCTTACAGCAGCTGCACTCTGGTTAATTATGTGGCTTCTTTTTCTTTTTTGGAGTAATCATTTTTTGCTTTGTATACTTGTACATGTTGGGGTATACAATTTGTTATTAGTGTACTTCTCTTTTGCTTTGGGTGGAGTTGTATGTGGCAAAGGATCCCATTATTCGAGTTGGGGAACCTCTCCCAACAAATTATATATATATATATATTGGAAAATGATATGTAGCAAAAAAAATATATAAGCCGTGGATAGTTTTGCTCCAAACCTTGCTCCTTAGTCTTCTTGATGTGAGAGGGTACCATTGAAATTCATGCTTGCACTTTATTATATTGATCATTTATAAATATTTTAAGTCTTTGAATTACATAAATAAAAGCAAACATGCACACAAGTTTTTTTTAATTTTAATATAAGCTTTGACACGTGATTGTGCTATGTAGCATTTAATAATTTTTAAAGAACTAAATATTATGACACCTACATACAAATTATATACTTCTAGAGTTTTCATATGTATAAAACATAGAAAGAGTCATGAGTGAATATCACATCATAATAGTTGTAATTAAAATCTAACTATGCCTTATATATCTTAGACTAATAATTATCAAAGCCCAACATTTCCAATATCTACATTGTGGCTTAGTCTATATGATTACCAATATCATTTTTGTACTATTAAAACTAGACTACCCATACTAGAATGTCTCGTGATGGAAATTAAGATTTGTCATCTCCATTTTCATAAATTTAGTAAGACAACATTAATTTTAAAAGATTAGAATTATAAAATGTTCAATATGTAACATATATATGTTTATTAAATATATCAATTTTTTAAACTTTTATAAATTTGATTTGAAAATTTAACCGTGCATAAGATTTAAATAGTTTTCTTTTGCAAAAATGTAAATTTAAGGTGGCATGCTCTATAACATTTAGAATTTTGAAATTTATCAAATAAATCTAGTTATCTATTATGATCGTATAATAAGTTTTCTATGGGGAAAAGTCAAATAATAATTTATGGCCTTTTTGGGTTATGATCGTATAATAAGTTTTCTATGGGGAAAAGTTAACATGTTATAGCCATTAGCGAATACAAAATTTATGGACTAGAATTACTTTGCAAGCTCAAATAATAATTTAGGGCCTTTTTGGGCAGCTTATTTAGAGCGATGGCATTTAGAAAATGCAACTGGCCGAATTGGGTAAATTGTGTTTTGGCAGCTTATGTGTTTTCAAAACAGAGAAAACAACGTTTTCACACTACACCTATCTAGGTGCAATGGGAGCTTATTGGCAATAATCTGGTTTTTCCAAAAAAATATAAATTTGTAATAGCCACGCACCTAACTTATCAGCAGATTATTTTTAATCAGCTTATCAGCAAATTATTTAATAAGCTACAGTTGCCCTAAACAGACTCTAATTATTGGATGTAATTAAATGTAAGTCAGAATAAGCATCAAATGAATAAGCCTATTAAATATCTAACTAGCATATAGTGTTTAAGTGTAAATTAGACCGTTGAGAGAAACATTTTAAATATGTTAAAATTACATGAATTTTTAGAGTATAGAGGTTTATTGGCATACTTATGCAATTATAAATGGTCAAATAAGAGGGTTATTAATAGATTTTGAAGTGAAATGTATATGACTCACTTAAAATAACACAAGAAATGTCAACTTTTTCTCATATTAAGATTCTTTAAATTAGTGTAATACACCTGAACAGAATGATTAAAGATGTATAAATATATTTTGATTTTACAAATAAGGAATATAATTTCTCACTTTAGCAATTATACATGTCTAGATAGATTTTGTTACTTAGATGTAAAATGTAAGGCTAATAATATGAATGTGGCCCATAATCCTAAATTTTTTACATGAATTCCAAAAAAAATCTAGCCATGCAATGAAATAAAAATATTCATAATTATCATGTATTATAACCTTAAGAAAGCTATAAAGATTGCCCTATGGGATATCAAGGAATTTGATACCAATAAAGTGCTGGCATGATTATTATAGTTGTGTTGAAGACATTCTAATTATTGATATTGTGGCATGAGTATGCAAAATATACTTTTCAATTTGCTAGGCAAAGTAATATACTTATTGGATCATGTTTTATATATTAGTTATGTAAGATCTTTGCTAGCTTAAAGAAAAAATGAAAAACAAAACTAAGAAAATCTAAAAGGAAGATAAGCGTTGAGGCAGACAAAGAGGAAATCTGTCAACATGGCTTGAAGAATTATATTAACTGAACCAAAATCTCAAACCATTGGCTCACCATAGAATTTCTTATTTAGAGATGAGAATCATTTCTTATTTAGAGATAAGAATCAGTGATCTTAAGTGGTTCAAAAAAAGTTATAGAATGTGTTGTAAATATAAAAAGTGTCAAAAAATGTGTGTTGTATGGTCAAAAAATAAACTTTAACATGAATTATGAGCCAGTTGCTATATATAGAAGTTGATGTGTCTCTCAGAAGTATAGGTTGAGTAGCTTTTTTGGTCATGATCAACTATCCAAGCTGGCATGACTCGATGATCTTGTGATAATTTTCAGTGAGTTTGATGCTGTTAAAATCCTTTCTAGTCAGCTTGTGAATCTGCCTAGTCCTTGTTTGGTAGGTGTGCTTTGAACTTGGGTATGTAAGTTCTCCTAAAACCCTATTGGCAAGTCCTCATTAAACCCCATTGGCAACTCCATCTAGAGTTAGGTTACTGAGTACAGTTTTCTCCCAGCTTGATGAACTTGTCCTCATATCCTCCTTTCAAATGAGTCTTATTTTAGGGTATACAATATTGTGCTTAAGGAGGTATTTGTTACGCTACTATAAAAATGAGATTTACGTTAAGCTTATTTTAAATCTAGCCAAATGTCATTTTTAAATTTGATAAATCTGATAGCATGTTAAATCTAATTTTTTGTTATTCCGTGACTTAAAATCTAGATTTATTAAATCCAACTATTAGTTGGATTTAAAAGATTGAGCTTAGAAAAAAAATGTTTCAAAGAGAATTGGGCGAAACATATTAAATGAGTTTAACTGAATTTAATCTTAATTGAACCAAATATTGTTTCAGATTTAATAATATTTAGATTTGATAAATATAGATTTACCGACCGATTTACTTAAATTCTATTTAACATAAATCCTACTTAAATTCTATCTAACATAAATCCTACTTGCAGTCAAACATCTCCAAAATGTGTAATATATTAATTATTAACATATATAAGTCAATAAACTACCCTTATCTATGGAGATGAATTAATAGATTTGTTTGGATGAATTGTCCATGCAACTTGGAACTCTTCGATTATCATTGTCATCACATATAATTCTAATATAATGAATATGACAATTAATGTTAACCCTAAAATAAAATTAAGGTAATAAGATAAGCTAACCTTCATTAAATATGGAACCCTTCTGTTTGCTAATCTGATGTGAACTATATAAACTACTCCCTTGCTAATCAACATCGATGGATTAATCTATTGATTTATTTAATCTCATAACTTTGAAAATTTTATATGATTATATTATTTTAAGAATTATAGATGGAAAATTTACATCTTTTTATCATTTATAAATTTTTCCAATTATTCATGTTAATCATTTAAGAATTGAATCATCCATCCAAAAACATTTGATCTAAATTGATCAATCAAGTTGACTAAAATTAACTATAAAATCACCCTTAATTTATAAGCTCCTTAATTTAAGCTGCTTTCTTAATTGGTTATTAATTTAAGTAAAATATTGAACTTAAAAATTAATTGCACTTTTAAAGCTCATTATTTTTCCATTATTAAACTTTAGCGTATCAATTGTTAGATTGGTCAATTAAATAAGAAACCCTTGAGCTTGCTACTAAGATGTAGACTATAGACATGTACTCTCTTTTCAATCAACATCAATTGGTTAATCTAATAGTTCATTTATTCTCATAATTTTGAAAATTGTATATGATTTTATTATGTTGAAAATAATAAATTTAAAATTTGCACATTTTTATCACTCAATATTTGGTTCCATTTATTCATGTTAAACATCTAAGGAACTAATAACCCACGGGTACACTTCATTTAAATATCTTAAACGAAGATAACTCAATCACCCTTAATTTGTACAATCATACTTTACCTGTCATTTTTAAGTAAATTATTTAAATTAAGATTTAATTTCACTTAAAGCACATTAACTATTTTTATAATTAAACATTTGCTTATCTAATTTTAAGAATGTTCAATTGAATTATGATAATAGACTAAGCTAATTACCCTAATTAATAAGAAGTTATGAGTGAAAAGTAGGATTAATAAAGCTACACAATTAATTATATAAGATCTAAAAATCAAATAGTGAAGTTTTAATTTTCTCACGCTATGTATGTCATCAAATTAACGCTAATTAATTTATAGTTATTAGAGACTATTTATTGTCTTCTAATTTAGTTAGAAGTCTTAAAAAACTAAAATATATTTTTGGTAATCAGATAATTGCCATCGCCATTTTGACGGACAGGTTTCTAAGAAATTTTAGCAATTTATTTCCATGAATTGGGATTGATATTTTTGAGCAATTTCTAGCGGTTAAACCATTAACTCCTAATTTAAATGCTTAAGCGGACTAGATATGTAATTGCCCTTCTACAAATCGAAGGCTCTATTAGGGCCAATTGTGGCTTGATCTAACGGTAGCTCGTCATCATCCATAATGGGTTTAACTGAATACTGGCAGGATGAGAGGACAATATTTTCTCTCCATGATTCCTCGTGGAATTTCGACAGATTAACAGTTAAACTTCATCGTTAATAAGAGATAAGAGGAGAAATAGCATACAAATTAATGTTGTCCGCGAGGTTTGAAACTATTAGAGCATGGATTTATAACTGAGAATTAACATTTGATCGCTATACATGCAACATACATTTACATTTACTCTAAATACTGCTCGTCCATATCTGATTCGCAGTCCTCGTACAAAAAAAGAAGTTAAAACACATTTGCTCACAACAAGCTGGTCAAGGTGTCTGCGGCTTCTTAGGACTGCTATTGTGGTGCAGCGGGTCCGGACCAGAAGGCACCCACCTCATTTCCCAGCCCACCAAATCCTTTTCCATGCTCTTTTCAGCTGAATTCAACGGTTTCGCCCTCTCCACCTACACTTTAATTAAAACCTCAAACACTTAGCATATATTTGTATAAAACTTCATAGTTGCTATGCTGAGTAATTAATCCTTGCTCTAGTTTAAATTAAACATAAATATATCAACAATCAAGGTAACAAGTATTTGCGCTTGCTTTTTCCACCTTAACTGCCTCCGAGCTCAGGCCACAATTGCCACCCCCACAGCCTTCCTTAACTGAAAGAAATGCATAAATTAAAACTTTATACTATCACAAAGAATATTCTTACATAGCTACAAAAACACGAGAAACCTACTTTCACGGCCTTGTACGGCCAAGTGGATGCCCAGAACAAGGGCAATGAGAGCCGAGGAACTAAAAAAAGTTCGAACGAAAAGAACCATCCCCGATCGATCTCTTGCGCTCGCTGCGGTCCATTGGAGAGGGCGCCAACCAGTCATTTTATAGGGTGGAAATCTAACGTAGCTACGTCTAACGGCTCTTGAGAGATATTACGTACAATAATCAACGGCCATGATTGCAGCGAAGCAGCTCCGATATCGCCTGTATGATGCGGAGGGCATTTTGGTCACCTCTCACCCAACAATGGCATCGTTTTGGGCAAAAGTGTCAAATTGAGTGACGTTGGGATGAGGAGGTGTTAATCATAACAAGAGCCTTATTTATGGGAAGAGATCAGAAGGGATTTCTCTTTCTGCCTTGATTTGGATAGTTCGATTTGATGGAGCTGCAGTCAGCAGGTGAGAAGGAGCGAGAGCAGCTACGGCTACGGGTGTTTGATCGAACCGTTGAAGTGAAATGCGGATTGAGGCCAGGGGTTGTGGAAGCGCAGGGAAGGCGAATGATGATGATGAGCGTCGTCATGGCGTCCATCCATCTGGGTAAAGTCTGTTCCGAAATCTCATCAAATCTATATCAGGGAGCTCTGCAGCCCGGCGTTGTCGGAGAGGGCGGTTCGAATCCCCATATTGCGGGTGTCGCTTAACTGTTCGTTAAAGATGTCGAAGATGGTTAACCATCCCGTCCTTGATATTGTGATGCTCTCTATTATCGATCGGCTAGGATGCCATGTTTGATAATCAATGTGCCTAGACAGGTTAGTGGTCTTTTTACATTAATTCTTGGCTCGTCCTGGCTGCCTTTCGATAACACCACATATGAAGATTGGCTGGTGTAGGTTGTCCATCGTTATTGATTGCCTGTAGTCCAGAAAATTTAAGCATGTTGAAGTTAACAGTAAATAAAAAAGTTGTCCAATAATTATTTTCCATTTAAGAGGTTAGTATTTATGAAGATGTTGTATATTTTCTTCAAAGAAAGTTAAATTTTTTTATAGATATTAGCTCTATTAGGTTCAAGTTGAGTGAGCAAATCCAAATTGAGCTTGGACCACGCAAAAAATAAGGAATATTCGCCAAGACATCTATATCAATATATATTGCTTAATTTAAATTTGTTTTGGGCACGTCTAAGGAATAGAGTGCTTGAAATCCCTGAGTGAGAGAGAGAGACATAGCACAGTATTCAACATGCTATGTCTGGTTGAAGTTTAAAGATATAGCTACGTTAGATTTCCACCCTATCAAGGGAAATAGTTCTTGAATAGTCATGAATATCAAGAGTGAAATTGCTTCCCCTTTAATCATGAGATGGACCCCTTATTTATTGGGTGGTCATATGCAATTATATGTTGTACTCCTATGATACATAAATAAGGTAGGGGTATTTTTTGCCATATCTAGATGATGCTTATGGGTCCCACATAGTGGTCCGTTTTGATCATCAGAATGGACAACCATTTGGCGGACCTATCCTCATGTTGGGCACCATTAGGAAGTAGAATGGCCACCAGACCGGGGCAGCCATCTGGCCTAGCAGTCATCGGGGCAGCCATCGAACTAGGCGGCTATATGGTCGGGGGATAGCAAGGTCGGAATTTACATTAGTGACCTTGGTGATTGAGGGGCCCGTTTTCTTTTACCGATTCACTCAATTAGAGAACCACAAATTTGTCAGGCCATATCCAACCAAAAGGATTCTTCGAGGGGAGAGAAATTATGTCTCCAAGGTGTGTCGTTTCCTCGATATGGGAAACTAACCAGTTGTGTGTCTGACTCTGACTGCTCTTAGTGAGCCCAACACATCATGCCCCCTTCATCATCCTCCACGGATGTCTTTGCAATTCTTGTTGACACATTTTTTATGAACATATTAAAGTTTCACTATTCTCTTGCTCCTTAATTGCAACAGCTGTGAAAAGGACAAGGGAATCTAAATTTAATCTAAATTTTGAATCATTTGAATCAAGTTTGTGGTATTCATGACTATTCAATGCACAATAATTAAATACTTCTTGATTTCTGTGTAAAGCATAATATATATGTGCAGAGATACTCATCTTTTGATCATTCTTTATGGTTTGTTCTACAAATTCTCAATGATAGAGAGTATGAAAGGTGGAAAGTTGTCTTCATCAGTCATTGAGGAGGCATGAACCTCGATATTCCAGGCAATGAAGAAGAGGGCGAGACCAAACTCTAAGAACTGTCTACCCTGGAAACGTGTCGTCATTAAGAGGAGATCCCTTGACCCTGTGGTTGAAGTATGGACTTCTGATTCGAATACAAATCATTCCACAGAAAACAAGAGGTACACATTTTGGAAAGCAATCTTTTGGATGACGATCAAACTGGTCAGGGTATCTCCCCTCCCACCCTTGCAATCTTGGGGGAAAGTTAGGGCCGAGAGTCAACACTGACTTTCATCTTTGAGCCTATTACCTTCAGAGGTTCAACCTGTGGATAACCAAGGGATCACTTCTGATCTTTGTACAATTGATGCCTCTAAACTCTCTTCTCAACCTTCGTTAGTGGGAAAGGATATTAGGGGAGGACTGTTCTCATTCACCACTTTGGAGATGGACCAGATAATGGACATGTTCTCTTGTAAGGGTTCCAAGACCCATCCTCCCACTGAGAGGGAGGTTTCTATAATTTGATCATTATGAACACTACGGTCTCTAGGGATTTCATGCACTCTGGAGGCCCACTTCGTGACAAGCCAACGAGTTTAACACAAACAACCAGCATTCTAGTGCTACCTGATTCAGCTTCGGATTTGTCATCTCAATAGAAATTGTCATCTTTAAGAGCTGAATTAACTATCTTTAGAGAGGAGTTATAATCTTTGAGGATCAAATTAGCTACCGTCCGAGAAAATGTTTCATTTTTTCAACTGTGTTACTAAACAAATTGGGTAGATAAGGTTAAGACAGGAGGAGAGCTAATGTTTAAACATTTATCCTTGTTGGAGTGTGTCCCGGCTGAGGCAGTGTCCGACCATTTTGTAATTTTTTTTTTCTTTCCAAGTCATTTATACGTAATAAGTTAGCTAGTTAGATCTTTTAAGCACTTTCGCAATCCCTGTTCTCTTCTTCGTGTGAATTTTCCCTTCCCTTTTTCTTCTCAGCCTTATGGCTACTAAGAATTCTTCTAATATATTTGGTGTGGATTCTCTTGGTGCATCGTCAGTCATTTTAGAGGAGCAAGTTATAGTCCAGTATGAATCATTCATCTTCAGTACGAAAGTCATTCTTCGTGTGACTGCCAATGGTGAAAGGTCAGCAGAAACATTCATTGGTAGCTTGGTCGAGTACACCTACTACGGTTGTCGTTCTATAGTTTTATGAGTTTTATGCTCAACAGTTATAGTATCATCCCTGCTCAAGCCACTCCAAACTCCATTATCAACATAATGACCTTCGATGTCAATACGTGGTGAGTCGTGATTTCCTGGTTGATTGAGCTATTCTCTTATTTTTTAGGAAATGAATGAGGAATTATTTTTTTTCTTGGTTTCTACATGTTTCCTTTTCCCCAAAATTCCTTGTGGAACTTGTGTTTTACATTGTAACCTACTATTCTTTATTCTGTGAACCTAGTTGTATCGTCTTATCTTTAGATTGAGGCTTCAGAGGTAAGGTCAGGGTGGTTTGTCATGTTGCTGTGATCTTACATGTTTTGAGGTCAGGTGAAGCGATCTCGGCATAGTGGTCTGCCAGTCTTTAACCTATATCTAGCACGACGATCTTGGCACCCCGGTCTGTCGGACTTCAGCTTCTACTCAGTCAAGTGATCTTGGTACCACGACTGAGAGTTCTCAATTTTTTTACGCGCAGCTAGGCGATCATGGAGCCATAATTTGTGAGCCTCCAGCTTCTACTCTTCCTGGTGATCTTGACATTGCAAATGACAGTCTTCAAATGTTTGCATGCAGCCAGGCAATCTGGGCTCCATGGTCTACTAGTCTTCAACTTCAGTTCAGTCAGACGATCTTGGTGTCGTGACTGACACTCTTTAATTATTTACTCTGTGAAATTATTTTGGTTAGTTTTAATTATCGCCATAGCTCTCAAAGAAGTTCTATCTAAATGATCAAATATGACATACAAAAAAAAATATACTATTTCAAGAGATAGAAACATTACATTAGAATACATTCGATCATTTGGATAAGTGATACACCCAAATAATGTGCTATTTTAAGTATAACTTTTATACTTATTTTTGGTGATATTACACGTCAAAGAAGGATATTTTCCTTTTTTTGTTGCAGGTATATCAATTTTAGGCATTTAGCTCAAAAGTAGCAAAAGGAAGGAAATTTAGAGCCAAAATAGAAAATTTTGTGATTCTGGTGCCTGAGGCGCTATATTAGCGTCTCAAGCGCCATTTTACAAAGAGCTAACACCTGAAACACGATTATATAGAGATTTGGTGCCTGAAGTGCCAGAATTGACGCTTGAAGCGGCTGAGCCCAAAATAACGTGGACTTAAGTAACTTGGCGCCTAAAGCGCCAGTGATGACACTTGATGAATTAAGGCGGTTCAGGATAAATTTTGAGCAGATTTTGATCCAAATGTTTCAAACTCCCCATGGAATGATTCAATGCATCTAGTCACTTTGGAATGTTCTCTAATGAAAGAATACGTCCCTTGAATGAATGGACATGTCTTTTAGGATTCAAAACGTGTGACTTTTGGAGAGAATTTTGGAGGGAATTTTGAAATTTTGGAGGGAATTTTGAATTCGAGGGAATTTTGAATTCTTTTTGAGAGGAAACGACCACGAATGAAAAGGAGAGGAGTCTAGGGAATGAAGTGGTGGCAAGTAGAGAAATTCGTGGGAAGCGAGTAGAGAAATTTAGTGGAGAAGAGAGAAAGAGTGAGGGACTTGGAGATTTTCTTCTCAGATTGTAAGAGGAGAGGGAATTTGGAGATTTGTTCTTCATTACATTTCTAATAGATAATTGAGAGTGCTTATAAAGAGAGAAAGTGCTTAAAGAGTACTTCTAAGGATTTGCTTGGAAATGATTGTGAGATAAGTTATGTCTTGAACTCCCATCTTCATTTAATTTTCAATCTAGCCAATTGAATTGTTAAAATGTGTTAAGAAACATATGTTTTGAAAGGGCTATGATTTCTACAGCATGGGGAGAATCACATTTGATTTCATGGGAAAGGATGTCATCCATGGAGTTGAGTGCAAATAAATAGGGAAATATACTTTGTTGGATGCAGAATTGGAGATTTTAATCTATCATATTAAAATCCCCAATTTGCTCCAGTTGATTAGAAACTAAATTTAGATTGTTAGCCCTTAGATGAGGGAGTTGTGGGAGCTTTAGAGTGCTAGCCGGTATCCTCCCAGGTTAACCATGAAATTAGGGACCAAACTTTGGATTAGTCAATATTTCTTATGCACTTTCAAGAGGTTTAAGAATAGGATTACTCCTATTTGGCACAAAACAATTTATATATATATTTTTTAAATGATATTAATTTTTTCACAATCCATATACTCATTATAAAGACGAAGGATGCTTTCTTAAATTTCAACTCTTCATCACAAAAACTTTGTTTGGTTTTTTTAAGTTTGCTTTTGAAAGTTTAGTAATAAGTTTAATTAATTTTGTCTTTTTCTGCATTTTATTTAGCATTCACTTTATTACTTTATATTTGAATTTTACAGTTCACTTTTTTAGTTTAAAATTGTAGTTTACATTATAATCTTAAGAATTTACTTATAAGCATTTCTAACTTCCCTGGGGGATCGATATCGAGGACTTCATTAAAGCCCTATTATTACTTGAGCA